AGCCGCGCCTGCGCCGACCACCTTGGACGACGACGCCGTCCGCGACGTCTCGGGCCTCTCGACAATCGGCGACAGCGCCGGCTCGGCACCCGCAGGCGGAGCCGAGAACGGGAAGCCGCCGCCCTCGAACCCGGATGGGCTGCTGCTGCCCGTCGAGCTCGTGCTGCTCGCCTCGGTCGCCACGGGGAACGTCGAACCTTGGCTCGACGGCGTCGGCGGCTCCACGCCCACGTGCTTGATCCACGCCCCGATGGCGCCCAGGTAGCCTTCGTGGCGCAGGAAAAAGGCGCGCTTGGTGCCCTTGCTCCAGAAGCGGATGGCGTACGACAGCGTCGAGATCGTCGCCTGGTGGCCCCGGATAAAGCAGCCGCCAAAGTAGATGCGGTCGAGGTTGTACTTTTCCGCGTTCATGTAGCTGTCCAGAGGGGCGAGGCGAGGAAAGGGGCGAGGACGGGTCAGTACATAGCCGGGCCACTGCGCGGGCCAGACCGCCAAACACCCACGCAATCTGCCCGATGTTGTTGCTGATGGCGTAGAGGAGGCTCTTGCAGATGTCCTCCTGGCGGAACTTTTTGCGCCTGCTGTGGGCGTCGCGCGGCGGGTCCGGGTCGCTTCGGTCCTTGCGAAAGACCTTGCCAAACGACGAGGCGATCGTCGACGACTTGAGTCCGAGGTGGTTGAGGCCGACGGAGCCGTAGATGTCGCCGACCATCATGTCGACGTTGGCGTTGTCGCCCTGCTCGGACAGCTCGAGCATCTCGTCGAAGCTGTCGGCGTCGGTGAGGAGGCTCAGCAGGCCCCACAGCGTGCCGCCGCCGAGGCTGGTGCCGCTGACGCGCTCAAACTTGCCGAAATCGTCGACCTTGATGATGCTGACGCCGGAGCCGATGTTGACCAGCAGGCAGGGCAGCTTGGGCGACGGGTGCGAATCAAAGACGGGCGCGTAGAGCGGCGGATTGGGGCTGGGGCGGGGCAGCGGCTGCTGGAGCGGGATGCTGGAGCGGAGCGCCTGGGCGTCGGCGCGCGCCTCGGCCGAGGCGGGCAGCGGGCTGTGGAGCGCGGCGACGAGCTCGTCGCTGTACCAGAACACCTCGTCCGGGATGAGGGTGATGAAGTTGAGGCCGGTGATGAGGCAGGCCATCTCGTCCTCGCGCTGCACCTCGATGCCCAGCTCGGCCTCGAAGAGGTCGTAGAAGAGGTGGGCTCCGCCGCCGGTGGCCATGAGCTTGACGCCCCGGCGCATGTCGTCGATCGAGACGCCGTTGGCGCGGGCGCTGCGCTCGATGAGCTCGCGCAGGAAGCGAACGCACGACTCGATGTCGCCCGTCTCGAACTTGACAAAGTTGAGGCGGCCGCCGGGCAGCGCGGCGGGCAGCGACCTGCGCTTGAGGAGCGTCGAGTGGATCGAGGGCGCGCACACGTTGGGCGAGCGCAGGATGGCGGTGGGCGTGAGGGTGCCGCTGGGCATGTTGCGGTCGTAGCCGTAGCCGTGGCCGTGGCCGTGGCTGCCCGACGACGAGGCCGACGAGGCGCCCGGCGGCGGCGTCTGGGGCCAGGCC